AAAGACAGCGGTATGCTGGGTGCGGTGGCACTTGCCTTTAATCTCGGTATTTGGGAGACAGAGGTGGGAAGGTCTCCGTGTGATGGAGGCCAGTTTGGTCTACATAGTGAATTGCAGGCCAACCAGGGCTACATAATGAGACCTTGTCTCAAAATAAACAACATAGAAGCCAGTGATAAAGGACTCTTGGATATGTCTGTGTGTGGGTATGTGCATGTGAGTGCTGGGAGTTGAACCCAGGTCCTCTGCAGGAGCAGGACCAGCTCTTAGCTGCTGAGCCATCTCCCCAGGAGGCTCTTAAAGTCCTGTAAATCTGGGGCTCTGGATTTGGGGGCAGAAGGTAGGGTCTGAGCACCAAAATTTTTCAAAGTTCTCACAATGTCTAAAAGACTGAAAGCCCCTCCGGAGGTGAAGATGACCCCACTAGTTCAGGCTAGCCTGAGTCACCCAGAGTGATGTCAGGGTGTGGGGGAAACCTGGGTCCAGGAGATCATGCCTGTCATCCAGTATTTAGGAAGTAGGAAGCGGCTGCAGTTTGAAGGACTGAGTTAGGTAACAAGTTTCCCGGCAGCCGAAGGTACAGTCTGACACTATCTCAAACCTCAATAGAACCAGGTGTGCTGTTAATTCTATGGCTTGGGAGGCTCGGGTAGGTAGAGATCTCTGAGTTTGAGGCCAGCCTGGTCTATAAACAAAGTTTCAGGGCAGCCAAAGCTACACAGGGAAACCCTGTCTCTAAGAACCAAAACAAAACCCCAACAGCAGGAAAGGTCAGTCTGTCAGGCTCTGCCATCGCAGCCTCGGCTCTGAACCATCACTAGCAATGGAACTTCCTCTGTGGTACGGATAAAGTGGCTATCCTGAAGCTACATGGTTTTTTTTTTTGGGGGGGGGCACTCATCTTTTTGTTTGTTTTTTGAGACAGAGTTTCTCTGTGTGTAGCCCTGGCTGTCCTGGAACTTGCTCTGTACAACAGGCTGGCCTCGAACTCACAGATCTAAGGCGTGAGAACCAGGAACCTGAGGCTGGTTAAGCTTTTAGGCTTTTGAGCAGCGGTTCAGCTGGGCTCCATTTGGATGAGGACTCAGAGGCTTCCAGTCTGAGGAAACAGGATCGGCTGAGGAATTGGCAAGGTGAGGTGGCTGTGGCTTGCTCTGCTTCTCTGATCTTCCAGCATTCACCCCAATATCTGCCCTCGGATTTGTTTTTATTAATAAGACCTTTTAAGATTCCTGCTACACAGACCCACTTGCCTCTGCCTCCTGAGGCATGCACCACCACTGCCCGGTGGGAGGACCCATCGTAAGCACACCGGGCTCAACAATCAAATCAGACTGCATGTGGAGTGTGGAGACTTTTCCTCCTTTCTCTGGTGGGTATCCGGTCCAGGGTAGCACCACGGTGACTGTGAGGTTGAGTGACAATGACCCTGAATCCTAATCTGCCTTCACGACACCACAACCCATTCCAGCCTCATCCAGGCCCTGTGTGGCATTCCGGTTTGAATAGCCTCTTTCTCGTGGCTAACAGTTCCGACTGCCCAGCATCATCCTGACGTCACAACTCCCGCATTTCCTAGTGTAAGCACTAACACTACCGAAGTTCACTTTCCTGCCTTCTCCGATAAGAACCCTTCTCAGGTTTATTCCAAAAATAAACCTGTGCCCCCACCAGCCTGGAGCGTCCTCATGTTCTTTTCGTTATACACACCTCCCAGTGCTGAGATTCTGGGCCTGTGACACCACATACAGAAACTTCATTTGCCAGCCCCTCCCCTGGCTAGCTTCAAGTGGCTTCCTTTGTCTCCAGCTCTGCTCGCTGGGTCTGGACAGGGCAGACGAAAGTGAAAGTGAAATCAGTGCCCCAGCCCAGCCACGAGGAGATCGCTGTCCACTTGGGGGTTGAGAAAAGGTGAACGTTCAGTATAAGCGGGCACTCTCCCTCCGTGACCTCACCTTCCACCGTGTTAGTTCAGGGGCTTGAACTCAGATCATCGGTGAGGCTTGGTGGCCATCTCACTAGCCCCTCTTAAAGAAAATCTTAACCAGGCCTGGAGTGGCAGCCTACACCCCAATACTGGAGCATAGGCATGCTAGACTAGGGAAGGCCAGAGTGAGACCCCAAAAGAAGAAACTCTTAACCTGAACCGTGACCAAGCCAGGTGCCAAGCTGCTCTGCCAGCCCAGAACTCTGCCCCCAAGACGTTACAGGTGAATGCCAATTGTCAAAGGTGAAGTGTGGACTGCAAGTGGGCTGGGAACCTCTGACCGAGAGACAAGTTTTCTCTCCCGGACAGGACTTGCCTGGGACTTCTTTCTTTTTTAACTCTTCTCCGTGTGTGTACAAGTGTGCAGGTGCCCATGGAAGCCAGGAGAGGTTATCAGATCCCATGGAGTTAAAACACTCCTGAGCCCCCCAGTGTGGGTGGGTACTGGCGACCCAACTCAGATCCTCTGAGCAGCAAGCCCTCTAAGGCGCAGAGGTATCTCTCTCTGTAAGGCCCACTTTGGTCTTTTTTTTTTTTGTTTTTGTTTTTGTTTTTTCAAGACAGGGTTTCTCTGTGTAGCTTTGTGCCTTTCCTGGATCTTGCTCTGTAGACCAGGCTGGCCTTGAACTCAGAGATCCGCCTGGCTCTGCCTCCCGAGTGCTGGGATTAAAGGCGTGCACCACCGCTGCCTGGCTCCCACTTTGGTTTTTAAGAGGAGTCTTATTTTACTGGTAGGATGGCCTTGAACTCTGGACCAGCGGCTCAAGCTCTCATACTTGGCTTCTGGCTGACATTTAATCCTATCCACAGTCTCCCAGGCCTTACTTAGGATCTGTAGGATCAAGGTTTACAGGAAAATTCTGGAACTTCTATCTGAGGCATAACCCTCACTACCAACTCCTACTTGGAACAACCCAACCCACCACATGTTAAATATCTTTTATTGACTCATTGTGGCCTAAGATGCCAAGGTCTAGCTCGGTCATTCTGCTCTTGAAGTAGACCAGGCTTGCCCTGGGTCACCACTATGGCAGTATGGCTTGAGAGGCCATGGGACAGAGGATATGGGTGAGGTTGTTGCTGTCCAGGAAATGGCACCAATGGACATTCAAAGGTGAACGTTTTCTGTAACCTGAGCTAGTGACCAACCTCTGCTACACAAGAAGCTGAGAGTATGGCACACACCACAGGAAGTCTGAGCACCCAAGCACTCAAGGTAGTAACTGTCTTGCCCAATTGCCCCACCTCAGAGCAGGGTGGATACCCTATGTGCCAAAGGTATTGGTAGAGAGTTTCCGGGAGAGCCATCCAGAACTCCTGTGATGGCCAGCCTCTCTTCCCTGTCCCAAGGGTCCTCAGGTAGGAAGCAGAGGACATTAGGAACAGCTGCCTCAACCACCTTCTCCTACCAGAGCTGGGCTCCAGTCAGAGTTCTCAAGTCCCCAGAATCTTAGGCTGGTTGTCCATTTGAGCTCACTATTGTTCACTTCCTCTTCCCCCAAAGATGCTTGTTCTCACTGAACTCTGCACCTTCTGCAAATTAAGCTACCCTTATGACCATCCTGCTCGCCAGTTCTCAAGTGAGTGGCCAGGGCCCATGGTTGGCACAGCCCTGCACAGGGCAGCAGGGAAGCCACTACACCTGACAGAGAAGGGAATCGAGGGGGTCAATTCACATGCCCATCACTCAAGAGAAAGCAGAGCCCAGTCCCTGGGAGTAAGGGCAGGGAAGGAAGACCAGAGATGGAACCCGAATGGAGGGTGGAACGTTCGCTAATTAGCTTTTGTTATTTGAGACAGGATCTTACACTGTAACTCAGGCTGGCCTCAAACCTCTGGAGATCCTCTTGCCCCAGCCGCCCAAGTGCTGGGATCAGATGTGTGAACTGTGTCTGGCAAGGATCCCCCGTTTGTTTGTTTGTTTTTTAAGGAAGTGTGCTAGGGGCCAAAAACGGGGTCTTAGCTATGCAGTTACTCGTGACACTGAGTCACACCCAATCCATCAGTTTGCAGAGTCTCTGCCTAAAATACATGAAACTCCAGGTTCGATCCCCAGCACTGACTAAAACTGATGCTGGGGGCAGACATCTATGTCAGCATTCATTCGGGAGGGGAGGCAAGAGGAAGAGATAGATGTTCAAGGTCATCCCGGGCTACAGAGTTCAAGACCACTTAGGAAATATGAGACCTTTTCTCATAAAAACAAAAGTCAAATAAATAAAACAGAAACCAAAAGATGTGGGGTCTCACTATGTGTCTAAGCTGGCTTGGAGCTCCCGGGCTCAAGGCATCCTTCTGCTTCAGCATCCCGAGCAAGTAGTTAATACATGTGTGTAACTGGGCCTGACAAAAGGACCCCTCACCTCCAACCTTCTGTGAGATCCCGATGTCGGAGAGGCTGGAGGTGTTGGGGGATGAGGACATGGGCAGGGTGTTTGGAAACCCAGAAAACTAGAAAGTGAAACCTCCCAAGGAAGAGCTACCAACGCCCTCCTTCCAGCCCTTTGTGACTAAGGTGTTACTGCCCCAGAAAAGCCGCTGGAAAGCGGGAGCACAAGAGAGCCAGTGGGGCAGACACCCACTCGTGACGGGCTGGAGTTTGGGGGTCCCGGCAGGGTCGCCATGCCGTACTCACATTTAGCAGTGTAGCTGGCTGCTGCAGGCCCGCAAGTAGGAATTCCCCTCACCAACACCAGGGACGACTTCCCGAAAGGGCTGGGCAGGCGGGGGCGGAGCCTGAATATTTAAAGGGCCCTGCAACTTGATCTTTTCCTCCTCCAGACACTGCCGTTGGGTCCATACTCAGCAATTTCTGCTTCGGCACTACACGGTGGGACTGGACTGAGACTAGAAAGGGTCAGAGGCCCTAACAGGAGGGGAGGCTGGTCAGAGGATGGCTGGGTACACCCCTACTCTATCTGGCTTCAACATTCCAATGTGGAGGAACACAGTTCTGCCTCTGCCCGAGTGAGAACAACTGCCGGGTTCAGTGGCAGTCTCTGCTAAGAGAAGATCAGTCTGCATCTTTTATTAGACTCAGCAAATCCAGCTCAGAACTGCAAACAGACACTCAACAGAACACACACTCTCCCGCAAGGCACTGAGCTGCGAGCTTGAGGCTTTTTTCTGTGACAAAGTTCCCCAGAGCCTGGGCTGGGCAAGGCTGGCCACGCCCGGGGGAAACAGTCTGCACCTGTAGGCCATGGCAGCAAGAGTCAGTACTTCCGCTGCCGGGGGAAGAGACTATTCCCCGAGGATCGCAGTGGAGGGCTGGCGGGGCTGGGGCCCTCCGAGTCTAAGCTGAAGAGGTCTCTCCCAGTCCGAAGGATCTGTTCTTCTAGTTTCTTATGTCGCTTCATGTCCGAGAGGACCTTATCCAGACGGGCCTCACGTTTCTGGCTCCGGACTGAGCTTCCTAAGGCAGAAAACGGGACAGGATTGAGGTAGTGAGTACCTCATAGACCTTGTTGAACACATGCATTTTGGGCCTCAGCACAGAGCAGCTAATGCTTAGGGCTGGGCCACACACAGGATGACGGACACCCATAATGCGATGGCTAGTGAACATACCTATCGGACGGACGGACGGACACACACACACACACACACACACACACACGCACGCACGCAAAGGTCCTGGGGCACTGGGGTGGGGACAGAGGACACCCGACTCAGATTCTCCCTGGACATGCTCTTCCTCCCTCTAATAGAATCCTCTGCAGGACTACAAGCACAGAAATGACAGGACTTCACTATAAAGGACCGCTCTGGCTGCTGAGACCAGCAGCTGGGAGACCAGTCAGAACTGTGGAAACTGTCCAGCAAGAGAGAGGTGGGGTTAAAGGTCGATCCGTAGATGCAGAGCTAGTGGAACTTGACCCGCTGGAAGAGAACTCAAGGATTCTGAGAATGAATTCAAGTCACGTGGGCTGGGATAGCGCCCGTCAGTTCTTGGTGATGTACACAGCACTACATAATTGTGTTCTGGAGAATACTGACCAGGAGGCTTTGGACTTCTGGCAAGAAGATGAAAGGAACAGGAACCTTGATAGGAAGGTCTGTGGGTCTCTTACAGGGAAGTAAGGCGCTGACCTAAGCCAGAGGTACCCTGCCGCGGTGGGTATGCTCCTTCCTGTACCTCCCATCAATTCTTCCCTCGTACTCGTACCTGGCGTTCGTCTTCTGTCAATCAGTGAGTCCTTCGGTGTCATTGGCTCATCATCAAAGTCAAATTCTGTAGGCATGTGCGGCCTGAGACAGGGTGAACAGAGAATGAAGAGGGGTGAGGGTGGCCCCTCTCAAACACCTACCGGTACACCCCAGCCTGCTGGCGCATCCTTTCCTGCTCCCCGCCCCCCCCCGCCCCCCAGTTTCTGTGCTCAGGAGATTAGTCCCAGGGACAATGTGTAAAGTTATGGCCTCACTTTTCCTCCTCCTCCTCTTTGGCCTCTGGCTCCTCATCTGATCTCTCCTCTTCACTCTGGGCTTCAGGAGTGGGCGGCCGGCGGGGCAGGATCTCCGCTTGAAGCTCCAGAGTACCTTGGGCAGCCAGCAGTTCGTAGAGCCGCTGGATTTCGGCGGGTGGGGGCATCCAGGCCTGCCCACTGGCCGGCAGCTCCACCTCCTCATCGCTGCAGGGCACGCACCAGTCTTCCGAGTCTCCCTCGGCGCGCTCGGCGCCCGCAGCGCTGGGAGCGTCTAGCGCCTCCTCAGCCCTGGATCCCTCACGCCCGGCCTCCTCCTGACCTCCTTGCCCCTCTTCCTCGGCCTTACTAGCCGAGACAGAGGGACCCCCGGTGTCCTCCACCGCCAGAGCCTGGAGGCCGGAAGTCACTTCCCCTTCTTCAGACAGAGGCGCCGCTGTGCTGCCTGCAGTGGTTCCATGGCCCAAGGACATAGAGTACTAGGAAAGCCCAGCACAACAGGAGCCTGGAGCACCGACCCAGGGTGCCTCCCCCCCAAAGGACTGAGAGCCACTGGGGTCTACGAAATCTCCAGGCAGCCCACCACCGACTGCGGCCACAGCACCGTCCCCAGGAGGGGGCGCTCAGCTCCCGGCCAGGACAGACCCCACCCCACGGATCCAGATCCAGAATCCTGCCGTCCCCGGGGGCCCGCGGAAACCACGCTCGGAGACGCACAGGGAAGGGCCGCCTGCTTCCTGGCTTTCACATCGCTCTCTCCACCACCGGGACGGGACTCATTTCCTTGGACCTCGCAGACCGAGTTCGCGTGCACTCGGCGGCCGTACAAACCTGGAGCTAAAACCCGCCTCCCAGGCTGCGCAGGGTCGCAGCACGCAGGCGCAGAGAAATGGCGCGCGGGGACTCCGCGGTAATCAAAGCTACTCGAAAGAGGAAACAGAAGGCTCGCGCATGCGCAGAGAGGCCGGTAGGCACCGCTAGCTTCGACCCACACTAAAGATGGCCACTGCGGCAGCGCATGCGTATTTCGCCCGCTAGGGCCTGCCAGCAAGCGGCACCCGGACTGCAAACCAACACAGGGACCAACTGAGGCGAGTCTCATGCATTCTGTTTATTGGTGTTTAAGAATCATGCAGCATTCAGCATACAAAAAGGGAGACTCAGTTTGATTTTTTTTAAAGGAATTTTAGTTTCCCCCAACTTTTTTTTTTGAAAGAAAGGAAACAAAAAAACCCCTCCACCAACTCCGAAATGCATCACAGCTGGCTCCCTGCCTCCTCAGAGGGCTGTCGCGTGCAAACCTCCCTCATCCTCTTGGAGAATTACAGAGCTCCCCCAACCCTCCCACCCTCGCTCCCTGCAGCTGAGAACTTTGGTCCTCCCCCCCCCACCTCTTTTTCTTTTTTAATTCTACTGTGTACAAAGCAAGTGAATGGCCCCAACCCCTCAGACCTTCAAACTCGGAGGTTAAAAAGCCCAAACGGGCAGGTCACCCCAGGCTGACCCAGGCCGCTGCACTCCTCCCTCCCCGGGACGTTCAGAGGGAGGACTCCCACTCTCGTGCAAGTCCCCCAGGGGAGGCCTGGCTTGCCAACTTCTCGACCCAATAGGCACCTTAGGGATTGGGGTCGGAGTATGGTCTGGGCCCGGGTGGTCCCCAGTAGAGAACAGTCAGAGCCCCTAGCTAGGCGGTCCCCCCTCGGCCTGACCGAATACTGCAGTTTCTGCAGAATGAATGGCGGCAGAGAGTGAAGATGCTCAGGGGAGATGAGAAGGGGAGGGGCAAGGGGAAGAGATGTTACGGAAGGGAAGAATGGGTTAGATACCAAGACAAGGAAAGGTGGGAGGTCAGGGTTAATTAAGGTTCAGAGGATGCCAGAGGCAGGAAGAAGTGCCGGGCGGGGGTGGGGGTGGGGGGTGCTGGGAGAGATGCAGAGGTGCAGAATACAATTTAGATGTTCAGGAAGGCTTCCAGAAGTGCAGAGGGGTTTTTCAGAGTGCAGGGTTGGGGAGGCCAAGAGGCAGGAGGGGAGATTCGCAGGCCAAAGTGCAGGGAGAAAGGGCGCCTAAGGCTGGCAGGGGAGCCTGGCAGGATGCAGGAGCAGGAAAGAGGCTGTAAACAAGGCTGCTCAGGCTCCCTTGGTCCCTAGGGATGGGGGCCAGGGCCATGGACTGGGCTTCCCCCAGGGTAGGGATGGACCCAAGACAGCTCCCAACAGGAAGAAAAGTCTTGGAATGCAGGGCAGAGCCCCTCACTTATACACTGTGGGAGAGGAGAGCCACAGACAGACAGGGGAGGAGACAGGGAGAGACAAAGGAATAGGGAAGACAGACAGGAGAGAGCAGGGCCAGGGGTTAGTAAAGCTGCCCTTGCCAACCCTTCCGCTCCTCCCGCTCCTCTCCCCGACCCCCACTCACCGCCTAAGTTGATGACGCAGGAGGCGATGATGATGAGGACCCCCCCTACCAGCGCCACGATGCTTAAGAGCTTGGCTACTCGGCCCAGACGCTGCGCCCCATCCACGTCCCCCTGCTGCAGGCTGTTCCGGGACTGGGGTGAGGGTGAGGGGTTTGGGGGTATCATGGCCCAGGTCAGCAGCAGCCAGCCCAGCAGGGACCGGGTGAGAGAGTCCAGAGGAAGGCGGTCAGCCCCACGGGGTTGAGAAAGGAAGGAGGATTGGGAGTGCAGGAGGAAGAGGGCACGGGTCAGCAAGGTTGTCTGCAACACCTTTCTCCTCCCCTCCCGCCTCAAGGGGTAGGGCAGGAGTGGCCTGGAGGGTTAGATCCCGGGGAGAGGCAAGCAAAGGCCCAGCAACTGGGCAAGTGGGATCCATGCAGAGAGAGGTGAGGGAAGGTGTCGTTACTGGGGCTCTATTCGGACCCAGGCAGGAAGCCGGGAGCCACCAAATGCCTGGCCCAGGGTCCCTGGGGGGCTCACCATGACGGCATAAGCGAAGGCCACAATGTTGACAGGCCACATGGGGCAGAAGCAGGACAGGATGGCAAGGATGATGTAGTCCCGAGGTTTCTGGGTGCCATCACCCCCTTCCACCCCAGGCCCTGCCAGCTGGGAGCTGGGATGGCGGCTCAGGCTCCCTCGAGGAGATCCCGGATGCCCACTATGAACCCTTCCTTTTCGGTCCTCCTCAACCAGCTTCTGCAGCACCCGGGGGGGAGCCCCGTTGGCTGGTGGTGTTTTGGTTGAGGGTGGCGAATGAGGCTGGGGGGCTGGCCCCTCTTCCCCGTCACCGGCCTGAAGGGGAACCACTGCTCCATTTTCTTGCTTTTCGCCTACACTCTCTGTCAGGACCTCAGTGGCAGGGTCCTCCTGGGTGGGGGCCTCTGGCTGCAGGGGTAGCTTAGGAGCAGGCTGGGAAGTTGGCTGAGGGTCTGCCTGGGTGTTGAACTGGCAAGCAGGCTCTGAGATGGGCTCAGGAGGGGCTGCAGACTGCTGCTCGGGCCCCGGATCTGCTGCAGCCTCTTTGTTCACATCTGGTTTGGATGCTGGCTCTTGGCATTCGTCTTTGGGGCTGGGGCTGGCCTTGGGTTCTTCTCCCGGGTTTAAGCTGAGGTCTGTGGCCTGGACTGTTTCTGGGGCCTCGACTGGGGTCTCTGTGGTTCCGGGGGCCAGCTCAGCCTTAGGTCCTGAGTCCACAGGGGCCGCCGTGATATCTGGGCCTGACTGAAGGGCCTCTGGCTGGTCTGGAATCTCTGCTACAACCTGGGCAGGACCTAGTCCAGCTTCAGAATGGCCAGGTCCTTCTGTCTGGGTCTTGGAACTATCTTCTACCCCCTTCATCTCAGAGACCTCAGAGCTGCTGGCTGCCATCTTAGAGAAGGGAGATAGGAGAGGACCCGTGGGGAAACAGCAGTCCCACTGGCAGATCCTGGAAGAGGAGGAGACAGTCTTGGTGAGGAGGCAAGAGGGGCTGGCATCACCACAGGCCAAGGCTAGCCTGTGCTGTCCCTAGGGAGAGGAGGAAAAGTTGGAGTTTCCTTTGCTTTGAGGTGGGACACCCTTGGTGGAGAAGTGCTCTACCTGAAGTCTGCTTGGAGAGCCCTGGGAAGATAAACCCTTTTCTAAACAGAAACCGCTCTAGGTCTGTGCCTGGACCCATCCAACACACCCAACAAGACCCAGACTCTCAGACCCCACCTCGAAGGTACCCCAGCTCATCAAAATCTGTGCATAGAACAGACACTCCAACAGACAGACGGACAGAGAAGCCCACACATTCCGCTCCTTTTGTACCCTTCCCTTCATTCCGGGCACCACCTGAGCAGTGCGGGTTTTCTTGCTGCGCATTTGGGCTCAAATGCCCCCTTCCTCCCCGCCCCTTTCTGGAGAGACCTGGCATCATCTTGTGCATCCCTTCTCAGCCCTTCTTTTAGGGGTTCCCTTGTTGTCTTCCATGAAGCCGAGGGGGAGGGGATCCTCTCCCGATGGCATGGCGCACCCAGCACCACCCTCTAGTTCGCCTGGCACCTGCATCCCCATGCCACCCAGCTGTCTGTCGTCCACTCCTACCGGCGGCCTCAGTCCGTCCCAGTCTCATCCGCTGCCAGCCTCGGGACTGCTCCTGCGTCCGTCCCGCCGCCACTGCCGCTGCAGCAGCCGCAGACCGGGAGGGAACAAGTCTGAGCAACGAAGGGAGGTGGCGGACCTCCCCTCCTCTCTCCTCCCGGTTTGCTCGGCCCTTCTTCTCTGGTCCCCTCCCCTAAGCAGCACTGCTGCCGCGCCGCCCCCGCCCCTAGCACGCCTCCTGCCCCTCCCGGACAGCCCAAGGGAACCTCGTGCCAGGCCCCGTGTTACCTGGGTAACCGGCCCGGGGACCACTCGTGCCCCCTCCCTGCCCTTTCTCACGCGCACCTCCTGGCGGGGCACCCCCTTCCTATGTCCTCGGCCCCTCCCGCCCAACGGTCACCGGGGGATCCTGGCCGAGACCTGGGTTTGTGAGACCGACCAGTGAGGACTGGGAGGAGGCATCCTGAGCAGCCTAGATGGGTTAAGGAGACAGGTCTAAGTTTGGGGCGGCTGCAAGGGTACCGCGTCGGGTTTCAAGGGAAAGGAGCCTGCAGAACTGAAGCCTCCCTACTCCAGGAGAGCAACAGCAATGCGTGCTGGGAGCTTGAGGGTCTCTGGAAAGGTCTGAGCACAGCCCAGAAAAAGGAAATTCAGCAAGCTAGGCAGATAGATGCTCAGGGCCACCCTGGAACGGCTAGGGCAAACAGCCCATGACCACCATTACAGAACCGAGTAGTTTACCCAACCCTCTGCATCTGCACCAACCATGGCCTCTGAAATGTGCAGGCATTTGGCGGGGCTCTGTGCAGCCTGCTGCTGGGTTGTGGAAGGGAGGATACCATGAATGGCCAGCTTGGGCATCCCAAACCTCCAGTGGGTATTCCCTAGAGATCTGGAATTTGTTTTCCATGGCCTCTGGATTCTTGAGGCCACCCTAAATCGGTGCTGTAGCTAGAGACTATACCTCAGGGGGGAGGTCAGCAGTTTGCAGGGCCAGAGAAGTTGGGACTAAGCTGAAGGCCAACAAAGAACCCTTCCTCTCCCTAAAATGGACGAGGTGCACACACATGGAGCTTGGTGAAGAGAACTTAGCAACCCAGAGACACATTTTTATTTAAAATTTATTGTAATGGGGTCTGCGCAAAAGGAGGGAGGGGGAGGGGGAACATGCAAGGGACACAGGGACACGATGACATGGCCAGGGCCACAGCTTCTGTTGTGGGAGAGAGGAGAAAAGACCAGGGCTGGGGCTGGGGGGAAGAGGGAAGGGGGAGACACCGTGGCTGCATTCCCCCACCCCCAGGAAGCACCTCTTGTCCCTGGCTCTCCTCCTTCACCCTGGCCCCCAAGATTCCATCTCTCTTGTCCTGCCTCTGGCCCTAGTGGCTCCTTCTGACGCTCCCTTTGGCTTTTCCCTGGACAGACACTCCAGTAGGATGTTTAGGGTTTAACCACCCTACCTTACTGAAGGCATCCCTCCGCCTTCCCTGCTTCTGCCCCTCAGAAGACCACCTATCCCTCCTCTGGGACAGAATCTTAATCCCCCTCCTCTCTCTCCTCCCTCCCCCTGGGAAAAACAACAACAACAAAAAGAAAGCACCAACTCCCCAGGAAGGGCAGCAGACAGTAGGAGGGGCCTGAAGGAGGAGAGCACGAGACCTTCTAGGGAAAGGCTCACAGATCCCTGGGAGGAAAGGCAAGGGGTTAAGGTTGAGGGCAGTGGCTGCTGCTGTCCTCTGCCTCCCCTGCTCACTGTCCAGGGGACTTCAACACAACTCAAGGGACAGGTGTTGGTAGGGTCAGCTCTGATAGGGAGAAGAAAGGAGCAGGAGAAACATTGTTAAAACCTAGTGAATTCCTTCTTCCTCCGGTCTGGAGGCTCCTAGGTTGATGGAGAGCAGTAGGAGCTGGTGGGAAGAGGAGACTGTACCAAGAGAGCTTCCCTCCACTCTTCTCCTCTCCTCCATCAACTTGGAGCTCACCAGGGCTGGGAGGGAAGTGGCTGAGAGCTCACTGGTACCCCCTCTGCCCCAGAGAGGGAGCCCACAGCTGTGGGAGGGGCTGCCACTGCTGCTGCCGCTGCCGCTGCTGCCGCCGCTGCCGCCATCGGACAAACCTCACCAGTACCTACAGTGAGAAACACCAAGGATCACAGCACAACCTGAATGGCAAGAAACATGCTCCGTACCCCAGACTTTCCAACTAGTTCCCTACATCCCCTGGGACACAGCCGTTACTCACTTCCTATCTGGCCCCCGGAGGCTTTGGCCTGCCTGCTTACCCAGATAGAGCAATTCTTTACTGCCCTCTCTGGACCCCAAGTCTCCCTAATCTGAGTGACAGACTGGCATCCCTGGCCTTCCTGAGATCCCCTATTGGGCCCTTTGAACTCCCTTGTCCCACACATCCCATCCTGCCCCCCCAGCCATGTCCCACGCCTTGCCTGGTGGGTGCAGGGGTCCCCCTCAGCAGGTAGGCTGTGGCTGGGGGGCATCTCCCGGGATAGGAGGGACGGCCCCCCCAAGATGGGTCTGCATGTGGCCGGCCAGCTGGGCAGGGGTCTTGCAGTGCACGCTGCACAGCTTGCACAGGATGCGGTCAGCCCGCGGGGCCTGGAGCCCATGGTCCTTCACTGCGTGGATGCGCAGGTATGCTGCTGTGGTGAAGCCTAGGGGGGGGGGTGGGGGGGGGGGGGATGGGGGTGGGGGTCAGCCTGGTGGAGACCCCAGAGACAGGGCTGTTCTCCTAGGCTGGGGACGCCCTCCTCACATGGCACTGTCCTCCTCCCACCACGTCCTTGGTAGGCTGGGGCCAACTACTCCACGGGGACAGAGCCCTTCCTTCCCTGAGCTTGGGGCCTGGTTTGAGGGGTGCCTGTTTCTTAATCCTCAGTATCTAGAGATCTCCCCCCATACCTGGGAGATCTCTCCCATGTGACAGGACACTGTGGCCTAGCTCTTTGAAGGGTTGACTCTCAGTAGAGACGGCTGTGTCCCCCCTCTCCAGTGCCCCAAATCTCAGCTCGTTTAGTGAATAACCACATGAAGACAGCTTTCTCTGTTACTGGGCAGGGTGTGTGATTGTTACACCCGTGCTGATGGACTCCACTTGCCCCAGGAGCTGGAGACAAGAACTTGTGGCTGCAGAGTTGAAACCCCGGGGACTGGCTTTCTTGAGTACTCCTTTCCAAAGCAACCATGTCCCACTTCACTGTCCCCAGGCACACCCAGGAGGTTGAGTCTCTGGCACTGTCTCCTCTGAGCCATGGCACAGAATTTAGTGATGTCCAGTTACTTCCAAGGCTGGTGTGCTTGCTTCTTAAAGGGCTCTCTACAAGCCACGAGCTCTTGGCTACAGCGCCCTTAACCCACATTAACCCACATTCGTGGAAACCCCACCGCTGTGCCCCCCCCGCCCCCCCTGCCCTGACACCCCTTAGCTGCCCCCCCACGCTGCCCCTGTCCTCCTGACACCCCTTAGCTGCCCCCCACGCTGCCCCCGCCCTCCCGACACCCCTTAGCATGTACCTTTGTTGCAGAGCTCACAGACATGGTGAGGGCCCTGGCTGTGCACCTTCATGTGGTCCGAAATATAAGCCGAGCTCAGCATCTTGCCACACACATGACATGGCACCTTCTCCTCGTGTCGGACTGTGTGCGCGCGGAGTCGGTCCTTCGTGGCGAAAGCTGCCTCACATTTCTGGGGGGGAGGGCGTGGGGGGGTCACAGGAGAGTTAAAGCTTCGGGGAGGAGAGAAGGGAGCAAGATAAAGGGATCAGAGCCTTGGGGGTCTTTGATCTGTAGGAAATGGGCGTGAGATGACCAGGCCTTGAAGGAGAAATGCGAAAATGGAGTGAAAAGGCAAAAAGAGAGAGAAAAAGGGGGTCTGAGAGGTTGACCTCAGACAGCTACAATGAGGATCAAAATCGTGAAAACCAGGAGAAGAGGCGGCGGCGGCGGGCTTCCTACCTCACATTTGAAGGGCCGCTCTGTTGAGTGCACTTGTCTGACGTGACTGTTGAGGTGATCCGGCCTAGGGAGATGGTGAGGTGGGGGGCGGGTTAGGACTAAGGCTCCAAGGGGAGGTGTGCCTCCAATCTTCCTAGCTTCCTCCAAAGGCCCTTCCCCAAAACCCCAGCGTTCCCCCCCCCCCTCAGCTTGGGCCCTTAGGCAGGAAATCCCTCAAACTGGGACTCTCTCTCTCTGCCCAGAGGCAGCTCGCCTGCAGCCCAAAGACCCACCTCCTCTAGGGTACCACCCCCTGCTCCCAGGAACCGCGAGGCTCGCTCCCCTCCTCCCTGGGAGTGCTTCCCGTCCCCAGCAGCGGGAGCCGCCTCCCCACCAGCCAGACGGGCCACCTCGTTGCCCTCCCCCCCCACGGGCCTAGTGGGCGGCCGAGGCCCCTGCACACCGGGAGAAGCTCTTGCCACAGTGGGAGCAGTTGTAGGGCTTGTGCACAGCGCCGTCATGTGAGCGCACGTGGTAACTCATGCGGTCCTTGCGCTTGAAGCGCTGCTGGCACACAGGGCACTGGTAGGGCTTCTCGTCCGAGTGCGACAGCTTATGTCGGTTCAGGTGGTAGACGTCGCGGAAGGCCTTGCCGCACATCTCGCAGGCGTGATTCTTCCGGATGCGCTTCCCCGAGGCGGTCGTGGTCACAACGCCACCGGCCGCCACCGCGGCGGTGCCTCCGCCAGCCCCGGCGTCTCCCCCTCCCCCGCTGGCCCCGCTCAGCTGGGGCACGCTCAAGAGGCTCAGGGGCACCATGGTGGGCATCTTCATAGCACCCGACGGGACCCGGCCAGCCTTGGCTCCGGTGTGGATGGCTTCGTGCCTCCGCAGGTTGTAGCCGTTCTTGAACTCCTTGGCGCACAGGGCGCAAATGTAGGGCCCCTTGCTCTTTGTCTTCTTCTCCAAGACCGATGCGACGGGGGCCACGGCG